TTAAGATTTATTAAATTATTAATAACGTTCAGAAGTTTGTACGTTTCGCAAATGTATGCTGAAAGGAGAATTTATTTGATAGTAAATAGAGATTTCCTAATAAAAGGTATGTGAATAGACCGTCGCGATCAAAGTGGATTTCTAATTTGTTGCAATCTCAAAGCAGTGAGACCTGGGAATTATTATTATTATTTATTTATATATATACAATATATAATCGTATCATTGTATAGCTAGTATCAGTGATACAGTTATGTATTTTATAAGAAATAATGTGTGCTAATAAATTGTGAGCATGACTATATTTTTCGTATATACATTTTTTTTTAAAATTATGAGATAATTTCATTTGTTAATATTATAACGTATATAAATACAGATTTTTAAGTTGTATTTGTTTTGAGTAATTTAATTTTGTGAATTTACTTAAGTTTTGGCATACTAGATGGCATAAGAAAAATATTTTGATCTTTTTTAAGATCAGTATTTTAGAAAAAAAGACATTATGTCACATCCATTCTATTTGTCTTTTATTTGTAGTTTTATTTCTAATTTTCGTTGTTTTTTTAGTTTATTTATTCTTCTTCAGATAGCGCCACTCGCAATCTTTAGTTTTTTCGTTCCATGTCAGATGGCGCCATTCATCTTATTATATCGTATTTCGATTAGATTCGTTTGGTTAGAAATATAAGGAAAATTTGCACGGTATTTCAAAATATTTTTAATACTAAATGAAAAAATTTTTACGTTTCATGTTAGTATTTTTATCCGTTATTGTTGTAGTCACATTTAATCAATTAATATCTTATTTTAGTTTTCGTGAGTTTTATAGGATTAGGATTAAATTTATATAGGTTAGGTTAAATTTAATTGAAACATTGGAATATTTAACTATTTCGATGATATATATAACGTACGTGATATGTGCATTTACATAAATTTAAATTTATTATACAATAAAATTTAATGTCAATATTTTATGTTTCGTCGAATTGTTTTTAACTCCCATCATTCATTATCTGTAGAAAAACATATCGTCATATTGTAATTATAAATTCCATGCAAATGAAAGAAATGAATTTATGTATATTTTGCAAGTAGGTACTTATATCGATGATTAATATCGTATGTAATAGCAAAACAATTTTTTACGTCAATGCCTGTTACTTTACGAGTCATTCGTGATATATTTTTTAATTGTAACATGCTAAATGCGAAGTTTATCATCATTTACTATTTAATATTTGTGGATCATTTCTAAATAGGAAAACCAAACACATTATTTGCGAATATAGAATACGTATATATCGTGATATATATATTTAAATTACACAACACACAAATTACAGCGATTTACAAACATTATAAACAAAATTCTAGGAAATCGTGTAGGAGAATGCATAAAATTTCGTCACAACCGCTTTGAATTTTTCTATTTCGGTAAATGAGGTATATCTGTGTTAAAATTGTTGGCCTAGTGAATGAATTGTGTAATTATATATCGGGCATGGAAGGAAAGTGCCGAAAAAATGAGGTAATGCGGGTTAAATAAAAAATCGCGAAGCAGGTTTAATCTTTATCTCAAAGAATAATAGCATAGTTGATGTTGATAGCATAGATTCGTGAATTCGTATTATACGTTTGTGAATTAAATATCGTAAAATTTTTATATTCATAGATTGTCTACTTTCGAATATTAGAAGACAAAAAGATTATTGAACAAAAATCTAATTAAAAGGCATAATCGAAACGTAACATTTTAAATTCATGTTTTAAATTAATGAAACTAAATTAAATTCGTTTTTAACTATCTTCATGATATAAAACGGTAATAAAACGAACAAATAGAATAACGGGTATTTTCATGAAATAATCATTACATTTTTGGTTTTGTGATATGGAGAAAGAAGCGAAAATATTAAGTACTTCTTAATCTCTCGCATTTAATGATCGAGATGCCAAATAAGAAAAATAGAGAGACACGGAGAGAACGGAGAGAAACGCGACAAAACATAACAGGAAAGATTGCTTCGCGAAGATCTTTTTTTTTTCTTTTTTTTTTTTTTTTTTTTTTCTCTCGTTTTTAACTGAAACGACTAATAAGTAAGTCGTTTTGTCATCTACGTGTAATTACGCGCACCATTTTTGCGAATAATAAACAAGATAATCGATAAAATCGTGGAAACCGGCGAACGCGAAATTATTATCGGTTCGAATATTTAAATCGCATACTATACAGATTAATATTACACTAACTACATAAGTATTGGATATGCATCGCTTTTTTTACACGTATACACACACATAAGTGCATAGATCTTTCAGCCACAAAGGACGCGGCGTGATATTTTCTCCACGATTTGTACGTATATTTATATATATGCATATCCGTGTATGATTATACACATACATACATACGTATACGTATACATACACGTTACGTACCTAAATAAATTTGTACATAAGGCATCACTATAAATCGATTCTTTTCACGTAGATCGCGTCGATAGTTTATGCATTTAACGATCGTTCGAAAGAATCTAGACTAACTCCTCTAGTTGCGGAACGGGGGGGATTCAAATGCAAAGGAATACAAGCGTCAAAAAATTGCGATATATAAATCACGAACAAATAGTTTCTTAACACAGACGTACTGTATTTATATACATAGACAAATAAATTAACGGGAATGATCATGTGCAAATTTTTTTTTCAATACTCGTGTTCTCTTGCATCAGGATCCCTCGCTATTCTGGTTAACTTAGCACAAAATACCTAGATGCCATTATGTGCGTACCAGCTTCCGTATTCGCAAAAGATTTAGCCTTTCTCGCTTCATTTTCTTCGCGCAAGTGAAATAGGAAATTTTAACGTTTACAACATGGTAATTCCTTATAAACTATTCGTATATTCTCAAAATGATTACACTTTCGTCACCGATTTTTCACCGATTGAACGGCACACGTTCCATTAATTTTTTTATATGACAATTAACGCGATCAGGATTGTTAGAAAACTGTTGTTTTTCAAGCAACAGAATAGAAATCGAATTAAAATTGATACGGAAATATTTCTAAAAGTATTGATAAATATGTCTACGTGTTTGTGAAACGTTTTTCAAACGTAATTCGAAACTTTGAAATTTAAAAGAAATCAAGATTCGAATGCTAAATGTTTACAATTTACATTTATCGTTCGTATTTATTCAAAACGGCGAGATACACAGAGCAGAAAAGTAGTAGTGGTCCAGCCACTGTTTATTTCTAATAAACATGTTTAAGTCATCAGAGACTATTAATTTGCTATCGATCTTTTTCCCTGTTGACATGAACGAAATGATAATTCGCTCTACGAAAAAATTCAATAGAATTAATTCGATATAAACGAGTTAAAAAAAATAAATGAAGCATAGAATGATCTCGAATGACTTAATACTCAAATTGTTGATCAATAAATGAACGAAGTTTGTGAGTTTGTTGCTGGTACGGTTGAAAAAGGCTGAAGGAGATCGGCGTGGTCAGGGGGGCGCGCGTTCGAGGAGTCACTCGACGAAGACGAAGACGGAGACGGAGTCTCGGAAGAGCGGTACGGTCACTTGGCGTGCTGCTTCGGAAGATGCCGTTTCATGTGAAGGGCGAGGTGATCGCTCCTGGCGAAGGAACGCTCGCACACGGCACACTTGAAGGGTTTCGCGCCAGTATGCTTTCGATAGTGACGAGTTAATTCGTCGCTTCTGGCGAATCGCCATTCGCATTCTGGCCACTGACACTGGTACGGTTTTTCACCTGGAACAAAAAAAAAAAATGTTACAATGCATATACACGATGCTTCGTAACTTTCACTGGAGATACTCGAGAATTCGTTCCCATTTATAGAATACGATTCAAAAGCAATACGCGTCATAGCAAATCGAAATTTGCAGCACAGTTGAGCTGATAGAAAAATTCAATAGTTAAAATTTGTATAATTGATCATTCTTCGCATAATCTCGATTGTTTGATGTTACTGCGATTATTCGATGCTTTATATAATAACTGATAAATTCAAATAACTTATCGAAGTGATTTGATTCTTAACTTTAACCATTAAAATTTTGCGCATCTCTATTGCAGGATATGGACAAGTATCTGATAGTCATCCTCACTAGCAGCAATTCCTTTTAATGCATCGCGACACGAATTTCGACATTCTTTTTCTTTCATTAATTCTCCTTTTTCATATTATGAGACGTTCTAAAATTTCGATTCTAATATTTCATAATTGCTCCATACTCCATAAGTATGAATTCCCGATTTTTGTACGGTTATCATCCAAGCTTATTATCATTGTACGTAATTGGTTATAGAAGTATCGGTTTTCCAAGGAGATTGTGACACGCGTGTTGGCCGGGTTAACGGGTTTTCGATGGTCATTTCGCTCGGAAGAAGGCGTAGTTTTCGCGATGGAGAAAAGTTAACTGGACTCGAAGCGTATGCATCTGAGGACCGTTGCCTCGGTTGCAACGAAGCGAGGCTAGGCGAGGCGAGATAGAGCGAGGCCGGGCGAGGGGAGGCGAGGTCAGGGCGGGGCGGGGCACGGCGCGGCGGAAAAAGACGAGGTGAGACGAGGCGAGGCGAGGAGCAAAAGCAGGAGCAGGAGCAGAGGCAGGATCGGCGAGAACGCGAACGGATTGCGCTAGAATACAGGTGAGCGTATTGCGGCACGCGGGTACAGTTAAAGGTCAACGCGGCATCTCTCATAGCCTAAGGTTCTTCGTACACCTATCGCCGTCGCAAAGAGCACCGCATTGTTCTTTAATAGGTTCCTTTCTTTGGCCGAACTACCGCCGCGATTCGTGCATCGACCGATCTCGCTCCTTTGCCCCTTTGATTCCTCGCTCCGAATCTCTTCACAATTCTCATCACCGTGCCCGCTACTATTACCCTCTCGATAGATATCATTCAACCGTGCCATTCGACCGTGCTTCTTTTTATCTCACTGATATGCATATCATTTGCGTCATATGTTCCTCTTTGTTCCGAATATGTCAAGGGAAAGTCGTGATCCTCGAGAGAGAGATTTAAAGTAAATCAAACTTCGTTTTGGGATTTTCCATTTTCTTTTAAACTTTTTTCATAACCGAGTTAACAGTATTCGAGCGATAGAGATTAAATTACTATTGGTTTAGATTAGATTTAGGTTAGGTAACTTTTGAATCGTATCGTATTGTTTCTCGATTCCAAATTATTGTTTCACCTCTCTTTTCGAATATATTTAGAAAATATATAATATAATCTCGTAATCTATGAGTGTATATTGACTGGTGAGTGTAATCCTAGTATCTTGTGAGATCTATTCGCATTCCAATTACACGAACTAATTAACTCTGTTGAACGCGTGTTTTCACAGCTGACGCGGGAAATGCTATTGAGACGACTATCTCGGGATCGTGTCTCTGTTGTCAACAGGTATTTGCTCGGAGCTCGAAGGTAAAAGATCCCACGATCGTTCTTAGTTGCTCGACTATATTTCCACAGCTACGTTTTATCCTCCTCGAATCCAGAATTCGACAATTATGTTTATTTATATCAAAAATAATTTGAAGCGCACGAAATCTCGTAGGGAATGATAAAAACCGGTTATACGGAGAAAAATAACGGACTCTCGACGGACAAAATCGGAATTCGATGTTTGCTTAGACTAAAAAAAAGAAACAGGAAGAGGAGGGGGGAAAGGAAAGAAAAAATGATTTCGTGTCGAATGTGTGTTCTAGACCGCGTGGAATCTCGATTAAAATGATAAAAATTGTGTAGATGGAATAGAACTATACGGCGCATCGGAAAATAGCAAGCGAAAAGACTCGATAGCTAAGAAATACGCCCACGCATACCGGTGACTCGTTCTGCCGTATGGAACAGCTCGCTATGGAGACGACCCCAACCGGTCTTAGCCACACGCACGACTCCCATACAATCGGTATTACCACCACGAGGCGGCATCCATTCACGGTATTGCTCGTTCATGAGAATTCCGCGGCGATTTCTTCGAGACGTGGCGTCGCGTCGTCCAAGAGAAAAGGACTAGCTCGAGAGCCAGCCTTCCGGTAATAGGGTTTTTTCTTTTTTCTTTTTTTTTTTTTTTTTTTTTTTTTTTGTTACTAGCCATCCCTCTGTCGCGTGCCTCCTTCGCCCGTAGTATATCTTCACTAAAACGAGTCTTACGAGATTCATGGGAAGATCTGTATCTGTTTTATCCTTCGATGGAGAATTGATCGAGTGTAATTTTAAAAAAACGTGGGAAAAAAGGGTGTTACAGAAAACGAGAAAAGACGGATACATTGGAAGTGTAAATCGATCGTAATAAAAATGGAAGAGCAAAGCCATTTGATGCGTGTCGTCATCCGATCGGCAATTATTTGTATTGAGTCATTCTATTGCTTACCCTCCGTAGCGATCGTAATGATTCCAGTTTTTTCCCTTTCAGGAAATAACTCGAGTTTAACGCCGATTCCCTTTTTCCCTAAGGACTCGTGTTTTTCTTGACGATTAGTCATCTTCCCACTTCGAGAATTGGAGATTCGTTGATTTGTCTATTTTTCGTGATTGGAAATGGAGAATCTTTTCTTTTTTCTCATCTCGAAATAGATCGAATAAAGATCTAGATTTTTGCGTCGAGAATTTTGCAGTAAGAAGGGGGCAGATTTATAAAACCTTTAGAAAAATTAATTAAAGATATTTGTAAAATTATTACTTTGATTTAATTTAAAAAAAATAATTGAAAAAATATGTTTTTTTATTTCAATTTTCGAAATTTCGAATTGTCCCGATTTGCAACAAAATGTCCAAGAAAATGACTATTGTTTATCGAATATAAACAAAATGAAATATACAATTCGATTTTTGTTTTTTTCATTAATAAAAAATATTTTACATTCAAAAGAGGGATAAAAAATCTAGATCTAGTTTATATCACCTGATATAATTTTCTTTATCATACATATATACAATATTCTTAAAAACTGTCAAAATGAATCTGCCCCCTCCAAAGTTCCCTTAATTTCTAACAGATCAGAAGAATAGTAACAACGCCGCGTGTCCGCGTCAATTACCAACGATTTTCCTTCGATAACGTTCCAGATGGAAGGTATCGTTGTTGAATCACGAGCGTTGGCTCGACGACGCCTACGAAGCTCGAGGCGTCCCCGTTAATTTCGGATCACTTTCACCGCGCAGTACGGTGTCTGCCATTCGCAGCGTCTCACGATCCAACAACTCGCTCTCGAAACTCGTATCCGTCCTAGCCTCTCTCGTGCCCCGACAATTATTCCTCGTATATTCGTGCTGCTATCCGACAGCGTATGGATTTTCGTTCGTTCCTTCGTTAACGATCGAGAAACACCGTTAAGAACTCGAATCGCGAAGGTTCTCCACCACCGCGAAAGGCTGGCCGCGTCGAGTTTTAAAGCCGGATAAAACGACAACGGGCAAACATGCAGGCTAGAAGGTTGCCAAAGTTGAAAGCATGGATGAAGCAGGAATGTTGCTCGCCTCGTGTCCGCACACCCCACACCGTGAGACTTCTCCTCGCATACGTGCCAATCGGTTGTCTCTACACACGAGACCTCTACGTCTACAGTGCGAGTAGATACGTGAATATGTATATGTATACGCGATTCACGTTGCGAGATTGCCTTTCTTTGTGTTAAGATGCAACTATTTGGTAAGATTCTGAGATGTTTACGAACAAATTCGTCAAAAAATTCTTATACGTGATATACGTATTGACGATAAATATATGTAGTAGAATTTTTTTTTTTTTTTTTATATGAACTGCTAGGAAGGATATGATGTATTATTCAATAGCAATGGAATTCTTTGTCGCTATTATTATTTTATGTTACATTATACTGTTTTAATTTATACATTGAGTAAAATGTATACGATTTTTCATAATGCGTATATATATATATATATTCCAGCTGAGCAATGGCTTTGACCATGAGAGATAGGACAGCGTTCAAGATTTGATCTTTGACCAGGTTATTTATGTAGTGAAAGTCTATTTAATTCCGCTTAATCAGTTACGAAATTAAAATTTGATGAAATATAATTTTTTTCTGAAAATACAATAACGTTTAACGATTGATAAATTAATTTTTTCATTTGTTTTGTATCAAAAATATAACTTCCAATTATATTACGGTACAAAAATATTCATACGAACAGAATAATGTCGAATGGTAGATGCATTCAGATAGTAGGAGCTCAAGTAGAATTCAAATGATAAGACATTACTTAAATTCCATTCAATAGACTGTTTTACTGTAAATGTACATACGATTTGCATTACAAAGTTGCTTTCTACTGTGCAAAATATAACCAAGATTCTACCATATCTACAAAGAAATCTCTTAAAAAATTTCCACTATTTTAGTTTCGTAAAATCAATCTTAATATTAAGCTTCAAAAATTCAAAAATGCATACAATGCGCGTATAGTAAATATCAAATTGTAAAATTGTTCTCTACCCATATCTGTACTACAAACAAATCCATTAATTTACAATACACATATTAGTAAATATATGCATTGTTCGTGTTTTAAGATTGCTTTCCATTGTAAAATGTAACTAACAAAATTCTAACCTCTCGCATATATATTTACAAATCCGTTCAAATATTCCTATTGTCTTCTTGTTTCGTAGCTATAAGCAACACGAACGTTTTTGTTTCGAAAGCACAAAATTAACCTTTGTCTGAAATAATAACCGGTGAGAAATTCGCGTGTTGAATGTGTTGTATATAACTGCGAGCATTGCGAGGAACGATACGCGTTTCATCCCACGTAAAGTACTTACACACGGCTCGTCTTACGGGAGAGTTTCTTGGACCTTTGAGAGTTTATGTATTATACGGCTCATCGAATAAGCCGAGAAGTTTCGTTTCGATATATACGTGGAATCTTCAAATTCCTATGTCTAATCGGATCGTTGCCAGGTTCCCCATTCGAGGATGTTTCTTTCGCTTATCGCGACAGCGAGAGTTACCTCGAAAGGATCGGTTTTTATCCGTGTGACGTGGCGAATGGCGCATCCCGCCTATAATTTCGATAACATCTGTCCCAAGTGGATAAAAAAAAAAAAAAGGAGAAAAAAAGAGAATGATCGTCCCAAGGTTGTCTCGCGTAAAACCCTGAAATCGGTAGACGCGCACGAAATTTTCCTATTAAGAAACACGCGACGTGTACAGCTTACACGTGGTATATAACGCATTCGAATACATTAGCGGAATACTAAACGCGACGATGGTCGCAAGAATCGAGCGAATGCTCGTTCGTTCGTTCCTTCGTTCGTTCGTTCGTTCGTTCGTTCGCATTCGACCGGTCGCGAACAATCCTCGAATATAGACGTTCCACCTTGGACGGTGTATAATTTACGAGCGATCGACCCGATATTCTTTTCTCGATGCTTTCTCGATGCTCGAGACGGGACACCATGGAATGGAACGAGCTGGTTCGGAACGCGGGACCGGACGGTACTGGACTGATGGGACGAGGCACGCATGCGCACGTGCACGCGCAGACACGCGTGTGTCGAGGTGCATCGGACCAGAGGACAACCGGTGGTGAATGCGCCTGGCTCGTGGCGAGGCTTAACGCCGAGAGACGATTCGACGTTGGTTCATTCAAGACAAGAGCCACGTGCCCGAGGCTCTCGACCCGCTAACTACGCCACTGCTTTATCCCTCGCGATTCACCTTTCGGATCTCCTTAACGGCAATCCCGTTCTCGCCTTTCGTTCCTTTCGAGATCGAATGTTTATTAATAACTAACCTAACCTGCACCGAATTCAGAGAGAACGTAACGTCTAATAGAAGTATCGGTGAAGAAGATTTTCTCGTCTTTCAAAATAAGTAAATCGAATCATACATAATCGTATCGTTCTTAATCAATTGTTGTGTCAATCTCACGAAAAGACAAAGGAAAGAGAGAAATTGAATTGTTAAAAATATGCGAGAGGTTATGTACGAACGACAATGCGTGACGCGATGACAGGTTATCGCAAAATCTCGAGGTATCAATTGGAAAGTGGTACATCGTGGTTCGGACGCCTTTGGCAAGCATTCCGCGAGAAGTTGTCGAGTGGGCACGCGTGCATCTATCGTGCCTCTCTCATTCTTTTCGACCCGACTATACGCGTTTCTACACGCGTATACGTATATACGTCCGCTTTCGCGTTTACATACTCAAACAACGTGTACCCGCTTCATGCACGAATTTCCTTCGAATTGATCTTATGTATTCTATTGTTCTCCATGAACACTTTGACTTTCTATGCGTGTAACTAATTCGTTTTGTAATCTACTTTGCTTTTATGAAAACGATTGGCTGCTCTTATAATCGATGATTTTCCGAATAGGAAGTAGTGAACAAGTAGTTCGTAGGATAGTTTTTGTTTTTCAATATTGTAGCAATTTCTTTTATTAGTGAGAACTAATGTGCATTTATTCCCATCTTCTCATAAATAAGATTGTTTCCTAATCCTTATCCACGATCTTATATACACTTGTTTTGTATACAAAAAGATCTTCAGAGTTTAATAGAAATATTAAACTTTCATCTCGTATGATCTCTGTTATTACAGAAAAAAATATTTATTTAATCCCTACGAATCTATATTTATTAAATTCATTGTATCACTGATCTAAATTACAATTTTCTACGTATGAATATCGAAAGAAATCGAATTCAACTTGCAACACAACCGTGAAGGAAACATCTATGCCTAAGCAAAGCGACGGCAAACGAACACGCGACAATTCCTTCAGAGAGAAGATTCCGCGTGGTTTTAGCGGACAACCAGAAACCCTTTCATCCTCGGCCGTGTACAAATACACGTAGGTGTAGGTAATACGAGCGCGTTAGCGAGCAGTATGTTTGGATACGGACAGGATGTGGGTCGCTAGCTCGAAGTCTACGAAGCGGAGTGTCGCATACCACGTTTCATGCGTTCCTTATACGTTTACATATGATAGAGGCTCCTTTGCGCGACACCGCGCGCATAGACGGAAAGATTGGAGACTCGAGAGAGACGGAAAGAAGAATACAAGTACATATATATATATATGTATATATATATATATTAGAGGAAGAGAGAGAGGGTATAGAGACGAAGGTTAAAGGAAGAAAGGAGGCTGGAAAGAAGGAGAGGGTACGAGAACCGCGCCCTGCCCACGCCAAGCGTTCGACCTCGCGCTTTCAAACGCTTCGTTTCGCTTCGTAGATGAGCTACATATCTAATTTCCACGGTCTTTCCTTCTTTCCATCGGTATATGTAATACCGTTTTTCCCCAAAACGAACCCGTTATCCGGCAACCTCGAACGTGTTCGATCTTACATACCTGTGTGTATCCGCTGATGTGCCTTTAAATGTGAACTTTTCGTGTAGACCTTTGTACAACCTGGAAAACGAAATGTAGTTATCAGTGGCTGACTTGAATCGCGTCATCTAGAACCTTGTTATATATGATATATTTATTGTTATACGCAGTTACATTATTTCATTGTATTATTTGTATTATTTTGTATATTCATAGTTTAAAAATCTTCTGTTGTTATTGTAGATAAGAGGTTCAAGAAGATAAGTCATATTCTCTAAAATTGATTTATAGTAGTTTAAAAGTTTCCTTGTTGTTTAAATTTTCTAATTGACAAAGTATTTATGGATGAAATCAATATTAAATTATTGAAATAATTGTAGTTGTTTAATTGGTTTGTTGATTGAAAGTTTGAACGATAAAAAGATTTTTGAATCGTGAAAGTTATTTTCTATTGATTTTTAATCGTATGTATTTTAGAATCACATTGGAGATTACAATTATGCAGTTTATTTTCTTTTCTTTCATCAATTTTATTGCGATGCTTACTTTGTTTAGAATTCAACAGCATGTTGAGCAATGATAATTAACATAAATATAAAACAATATATAAGAATTTATAAATATAATTCATAACAGTTATAATTTTACAATACTACTATAAAGTATATTATGTTCTATTTTCATAATATACTTTATAGTAGTTCACTTTGCATTAAAAATACGTATTTTTCCATACATATTTTTTTCAAAGACTTGTTACAAACAATTTACAATCCTCAAATTCTCAAACTTTCTAAACATCCCTTATATATCCATTACATTAACGAATAAGCAATAAAACCCGCAAAAAAAACGAACAAATGCAAACAGAAAAATTCCCACCTAAACTCGGAAGAAATTCTCGTGTTCAAGAATGGATCCTCCAGAACAGTTGCACGAATATATTATTACCGTATTATACACAACAAGTTGACAAGTTTCCCTCCCTTAGCTTACCTATGAAATCACAGTGATGAACGCGCCTCTTCTCCAGCTCGGGATTGTTCCGCCTGTTGAATTTGGTGGTGATAGCGGGAGGTTGAATCCTGTGAGGAGGATTCATAATGGACGGCTGGGGATAGGGTGGAGGCGGTGTCCGCCTCGGTGGCGCCCCTATCGGCGAGCCGGGGTCGGAAATCGGCGGCGTCAGCGGGGAAATGTACATTAACCTAGTCATCGAGCCGTATAGAGGCGACGTCGCGCTACCACCGATCTGATTAGCCCCGTGGTGGCTGGTCGTCGAGTCGTTACTATTGTTATTGTTGTTCCCGTTACCGCCGCTATTGTTACTATTGTTATTGTTGTTGTTGGCATTGTTATTGATGCTGGTACCGTTGCTGCTATTGTTGTTGTCGTGTTTGCCATTGGTACCGCCGCTTCCACCGCTGTTGTTGTTATTATTGTTGTTGTTATTGTTGTTATTGTTGTTGTTGTTGTTGTTGTTGTTGTTGCCGGAGGGGAACGTCTTGAAGGCGGCGGTGGACGGAGGTGGCCGATGGTGAACGACTTGAGGGCCGGTCGAAGGATTCGGATGGGGGCCGTTCGCATAGGTCGAGTTCGAGGCCGGGCCTTCGAGGAGGTGCAAGGTCGGTGGGGGAGGTAACGGCTCGGTTTTGATCTCGACAGGGGACAACACGGGGGAGGTGACGTCGTCGGTCTCCATTTTCACGTGAGACTGGGAGCCCAACATGTCCGCGTTCTCCGGGTCGAGCTTTTGTATGCTCGAGGTAATGTCCTCCCAGAGAGGTGGCCTGAGGAACACGTCGTCGTCGTTGGCCGCCGGTTGACTCCTCGACGAGACGAAGCTCGCCTGCGGCCTGCACACCGGCCCCCCAACCTCGAAAAAGTCCTCCATCTGGACCGAGGACTCCCTCGACTCTTTCTCCGGGTCATCTTCGTCGAGTTTCTGCAGCCGGTCGAGGTCCTGTCTACACAGCAACGTGTCCAGGTCCGAGGTCTGCTGGAAATAGAATAGAACGGGTCGGAAATATGAGTCGTTTGAAAATTTGCTGTTTCACGAGCATACATTAGTACACCGTTCCAAAAAGCCAATCATCACAGCTCGAATAATTTCGATCGAAATTTGAATAAATGTAAATGTATTATGCGTTCAACTGACGCAGTTTCTTCCTTAACTGATATTGAATCGTAATTACGTTTGTCATTCTCGACTTTAGTGTTCTAACTTCGAACACTTAGTTTCACAGATGGATAACTAACGCGCCACAAATATGATTTATATAATTCTGAATAATTTATAATCGGATATATAATTTAATAGATATTTTGATTTTTTAAAAAATTACATTACATATATACATAACTTAAGAAGTTAACAATTCTACGATTCAATAATATCAAAAATAGCAAAAAATTTTTCCAACTTTTTATATTCTCTCATCTCGCATCATTCTCTCTATACCCTATACCCGAAATGATTCTTTTAAAAAGAAAGAAAGAAAGAAAGGAAGAAAGGGGACGAGGTGGGCCCCATAGAGACAATGACAAGCCATCGATGTTGCACGAATATCGAAGCCAGACTGGGTTAAACTTTAACGAAGAGAAAGGGGGGAGTGGGTTAAGCTTATAAGTGTGACTCGACGATATGCTGATTGACGAAAATGCAACGCGCGGCGCGTTGTTCTCGGTTAATATGCAACGAACGCATCGAGGGCTGTGCAGCATGAGGTCTTCTCTCCTACACGCCTCGTATGCCACTTCTATGATGCATACGAGTGTAACAACTGTATAGCGCGGAGCACAGCCGCGGGGGAGAGATGGAAGATGGGACGAGAGGAGAAGGAAAGAAAGAAAGGAGGGGGGGGAGAGGGGGATAGGGACAACGCACGGGTTTCGTCCCGAAGATGGGAGGGAGGGAGGGAGGGAACGGGCCGATGCCTCGTCATTCTTTGCATGATTTGTACACGCGCAACACCGCCCTCGTGCGCCTTGCCTTTTTGTTGTGCCTTCGCCTTTCCTCCTCCCTTCCTGCCTCCCCCTTATTCGATCCTCAACGATTTTCGACGATTCCCTAGCGATGATAGGATTTGAAACGCCTCGAATTTACATAGGCAGAGTGTTTTTCATCGACGATTACGATGGAATGAGGGTGAGATTGAAAATTGTGAAGAATATGGGGGAATGTCATGGTGTAATTTTAATTTGAAAATTCAATATGGGGAGAGGGGGGGCTGGCAAGAAGATGAAAACTTGGACTGTGATTGAACTTGGAGATTTGTTATATCGAATTACAGTAATTGAAAATGGGATATAATGGAATCTCGACTCTCGTAAGGACGCTTAATCCAAGTGTCTTCGCGCATTAATTTATTAAGTAGGTTCATCTCTCTATGTGGAGCATAAGAGATTAGTAGGAATATAGCAGAATTGTCTCTCGTGGAAAATAATTTTGAAGAGAAGAATTCGCGAGAAAACAGGAAGAGGAGGGGGGGGGGAGGAGGACACGTTTCTGCCCATATAAGAGTATAAGAAACGAGTTCAGAGTGGTGTGTGCAGTTTGAAAGTTCGCTTCGAAGAATTTCGAGGAGCCCCGTTACGACGTGGATCGAAAGAAACGGTATGGAATACGTAACATGAATTTTTAAACATCATCGTGGATGGATCGAAGTTGTTATCGAGGCGTGAAGAATTCCTATTGCATTCTCGGGCACAATCGAGGCGAGATCGAGGATGAAAGGCTCAAAACTCTCTAATCCCCCTGATATAATTAAAATAAAGGGATTTTAACGAGATAGAGTCGTTAAAAAGGAAAAGTTGAAGAGTTTTGGGGCTGAAAGACAAAAATATATGAAAGTTCTCGCGAGGATGAAATGAAAAGGATGGAAAAAGAAGATGAAAAGAAAGAAAAAAAGAAAAATCTCATCGAAAATTTTTGAACGATTCCGGCTCACCGTCCGGCAAGCTTATATAGTGATTTATGAATTATTTACACAATGAATTATTCATCGTCGGAAGATTGGTATACTCGCAACACTCGATCGTACCTGATATGCAATTTGAAAAGGAGTTTGTAGCGAGGTACGATATGCGCGCGAAACATTATATTTAAATGCCATATCGTCCCGTCCAGGATGGATGCGGGCTCTGGTACGCGTTCATCGATAAAATAACTAACAACGATCGGCAAACTGCTGCCTTCAAGTCGTATATTGTTGCAATGTGCGCGAAGAAAGAAGACGGGGGAAGAAAAAATGAGGAAACAGAGAAAATATAGAATATTTATCCTCGAGTTTGTTTATTTTATTATATTTTCGACTGATAGATATTGTTGTTTTCGAATTGTAAAGGAGGAAGGAAGGAAGGGAAAACGAGGAAATGCGGATAATAAGAATATGGAATATTTATTTCTCGAGTGTTTATCCTGTTATTTTTGACTATAGATATATTGTTGCAATGAATGAAGAAGAATGAAAACTGATTAATAATATTAAAAAAATTCTTCTCATCATCAAATATTGAATATTATTCAATGAATAGCATTGAATAATCTTTATTATATCGATATATCGTAATAATATGATATTACTATCGAATTGCTAGTTTTATTTAATAATCTTGTTCTAATCGATATTTTAAAATATATGTTTCTTATGATATAATTTTTCTTTGTAAAAATTCCACAGAAACAACTATTCCTTTAGAGGAAATATTATATTCAAATAAAGAAAAAAGAAGGTATTTGTTTTCAATGTAACGTAATATCTTTTTTCAGATTCAAAATTAATATCGTTATATTCCGTCCTCGTTATCACGTAATGATAACACATAAATGCTATAATTTAATATTTTATTTATTTTTAATCTTACACGTATGTTTAATATTTCTAATCAATATTAGTTTTTAATTTTTCTTCTTGTTATTATTATTATAAATTATGCAGATTCATATTTTGATTAAAAGGATAAAATGCGAATAAAAATTTATACCAAGTATTATAATGAATACTTTACTTGGAATGTTTAAAATTCTTTACGTATTTTTGCATATTAATACGTGTTATATGCATTTTTGCATTTTTAAAATTCTTCGTAAAAATGTATAAAACATCCGCAATCCACCTATTATATCCGATCTATCGTTGATAGAAGAAATTCGAATCTATAAATTCTAAAAGATTCTTTTAAAAATCAGAAAAAAAAAAAACAAAAAGAATTATTCGATCGTAAGAAAAAGAATCCATATCTCGAGAAAATTAGAAATCGAATAGAAGTTATCTTGAAAAATTCAAATTCACCCGTTCGCTCATTTACAGCTAAATGTCAGAGATTTACATTTGCGATAAGGAACTCGATCGAGGCGGATCGAGACGTGTACGATTTGATCGATTATTACGTGAAATTCGATAACTCTTGATATTCTTTTTTTCAAGAGACCGCCCATCCGGCACACTCGTGCATTCCTCCTCTTTTCCTCTAGCCATTTAGGTTAGCTCGAGCGTGTCTCTTCGATTTCGGTCGCGGAGATAATGATAGTGCGGAGTTGGAGCAAAGTTCGTCCATCCGGCCATTTAATGGTTGTAATCATAGAGCGAGGGACGTCGGTGTTAATAACGCGTTTTCGATTCTGTCAGACTTGGAACGGACACCCACGCCGTCGATAGATAACGCGTCGTCATCGCGATGCAATACGAAAAAAATCTTTCCATTCGCGCTCGCTCGTGCCGCCTAGTGTTTTTTATTCCGACCAATCGCGGGTCTCGCTGAGCGACGAAGGAACGCATGCGCGCTGATTCTGCTCCCATTTACGAAGAATGCGATTTGATTAATACGGTCGAACCACGGTATTGGCTCGGGGAATCTCAAGGGAAGAGACTGGATTAACTCTGGTATTAAATTATTCTCGAATCGAAGAGAGAAGAGAATGGCATAATGGAATCATTCGAGTTATCGAAGTTTTCGATTGAGAGAGATTTAATTCATTGGCGGTTATAACTTGGGTTGTTATTGCGAATGTTTATGCAAATTTAAATTTGCATGAATATAACTATTGGAAATGGAATTGAAATAAAGATCTGTTGCATTCTTTGAATATTATAATATGTACTTACTTATTTTGCTTTTAATGTTTTATGTCTTTTTGCATACGTCTCTTATGCATTTTGTATGCATAAAAATGCATACAGTAGTAAATGCATAAATTTTCGCAGACTAGTCATTACAGAATACATTATTAATTATATTTTCCAATTCTCTATAGCGCTATTACTTTAACATATTCGTGTTAATAACTCGTTAACAAAGGCGAAACGAAAGTTTTTGCAAAGGAAAATGTTGCTGGAAATTACTTAAGGAATCTTCGATTAACCGATATCCCCATATTTTCAAATCTTCTTTCTTTCCTTCAAAATTTAAAATAACATCCAATTGTTATTGTTTCTTTGTCGATCAAGGAATTTGTTCGAGATAGTTTGTTGATTTAGAATTCTCATTGAACAAAATTTGTTTCACAATTGTACCATTTTTTCCTAGACAAAAAAAGTTATTGTTTCTTTTTTCAAATATTTTGTTTTAATATAAATTTTGATAGAGAAATTATTCTTAATAATAGTGTTACATAGATCAATCTTGGATCATTTGTATCATTATTAATTTTATTAGTCGTTTGTCCAAACATTAATAAATGGAAATTTATACTTTATATATTAATATTCTTTCAATTGAAGAGTCTAGTGAAAAATAAATAAGTGCATGGTGTATACATTATTTTATTTATTCGTTTTCTTTCATATAGTATAATCAATTGAAAGAAATTTCCGCATTTCTTATAAACATAAAGTTTTTTTTAATTTGCATTTCTTTATTAAATTTATAAAAATATAACATATAGGTTTTTGTTTTGAGCATATTTCGAGTTGATTGTGATACATATTGTCGTTGCATTTCTTATTATATTATCGTCAGATTATAATTATACATTATTTTCAAATTATTCATTTCATC